CTCAGCATTGATCTGTATGGATTGCTTACCAACTAACACAAAGAATCATGATCAAAGTCTACACTGCGTTTGTCAATATCAAACATTTACTGTACCTATCAATCTACCAATCACATATATAGAGAGATACTCTCCAAAATAAAGCCTCATTCTAATTTTTATAAAAGTAAAATTTATTTGAAGAGACTACGGAAAGAATTGTAAAGAATAAAAGCCTAATGTTTAAGTGCCATCTGGTGTTCTTGGTTTTGTATTCTACTCAGGAATGAACAATAACCAGGGTAAACCTGGTTACTCATCTATATTCTGTCCATTGAAACCGGATCTGTTCCACTGAGCGGTTGGCAATTACGTGCATTGTGGCCAGGATTACAGTTGCCTCCTAATAGCTATTCTCCCTTTTATATCCTCCATAACTCTGTTCAACAGAGTACATTGTCAGTGTTACCCAGCTAAGACTACATTTCCCAGCAGCCCTTGTAGCTTTGTGTGACCACATGACTTATAAGTAAGTAGAAATGATATGATGACTTAACAATCTCCATTAAAGAAGAATTACAGCCTTTATCTCCTATTCCATATCTAGAAGCCAGAAAAGTAAATATAATGGTTGGGATTCCAGTAGCTGTCTAGGAATTTAGAACATCAAGGACTGTACCCTAGGAATGTAAGAGAGCTAGAAAAAACTGAATCCCTGATGATTCTGTAGAGTTGGTAAACCAGCCTTTCACTACTAAACTAGAAGCTTATAAAATAAGAAAAAAACACTCTTTTGTTGTTTAAACTACTACATTCTCTTACATGCAGGTGGACCTAGCTTAAAACATTCACTATAAAAGAAAAGTGTGCATATCCTACATGAGTATGATCCAAAGTATCTATTTCAACAGTAAAAAGTTTAAAACAATTTATGAGTAAACAAGTATCTTAAACTATATATTTGCATTCTCTACTGCCTTTAAAATGATCCCATCCAAGTATTGCTGAGTATTAAGCATTGTTTCTTGATATTTGTATTTGAATGATGAGATAAATGCCAGACATAATATAATAAAAATGCAGAAGGCCATGCTTCTGTAGCTTTCCTTCTCTCCACTGTTTCTCTGTTGTTGAAATCAATGATTCATATCAAAGATTATTTTCCAAAATTAAGTATGTCCACTTCTAATAACAAGAATGTATTCAAGTATTAGATATTAGACCTTTATTAGGTATTAGACCTAGGTATTAGACCTTTATTCAGGAATATAAAAATTAGTATAAATGCACTAGTATTTTCTCCTACAAAAAACAAATGGGAAAATCTCTTCAGGTAGCCCCCCAACAACCAACACACTTCCACACACACACAAGAAGAAGAAAGGGCTTCCCTGTTGGCTCAGATGTTAAAGAATCTGCCTGCAATGCAGGAGACTTGAGTTAGATCCCTGGGTTGGGAAGATCCCCGTGAGGAAGATATGGCCACTCACTGTAGTATTCTTGCCTAGAGAATCCTCATGAACAGAGGAGCCTGGCAGGCTACGGTCCATGGGGTCACAAAGAGTTGGACACAACTGAGCGACTAAGCACATATGCTACAGAAAGAACTGTGAGCCCCTCAGTTCAGTTCAATCTCTCAGTTGTGTCCGACTCTTTGTGACCCCATGAACTGCAGCACTCCAGGCCTCCCTGTCCATCACCAGCTCCCAGAGCTTGCTCAGACTCATGTCCATCAAGCCAGTGATGCCATCCAAACATCTCATCCTCTGTGAGCCCCTCATCTCTTAGTAATCAGAACTCAGCTTGGGTCCATGATACTAGTATAGGGTTACAAATAAGAGGGTTGCAAATTTATGGTCCATGAGCCAAACTTGACATTCAAAATATACTCTATTTGGCTTAGGTAATACTTTCTGAAAACATTAAATATGAATGGCTTCAAGTGGGCATGCATCTCCAGTTCTCCACAGGCCTACCATCAGCTGTTGATATATACTCTCTTGCTTCATTGGTTGATGTCACCTGCCTGACCCCTGAGAAACACTGACATTTATAGTCTCTGGAAATAAAACAGTACGCTTCTGTAGCTTTCCTTCTCTCCACTGTTTCTCTGTTGTTGAAATCAGTGATTCATATCAAAGATTATTTTCCAAGATTAAGTATGTCCACTTCTAATAACAAGAATGTATTCAAGTATTAGATATTAGACCTTTATTAGGTATTAGACCTAGGTATTAAACCTTTATTCAGGAATATAAAAATTAGTATAAATGCACTAGTATTTTCTCCTACAAAAAACAAATGGGAAAATCTCTTCAGGTAGCCCCCCAACAACCAACACATTTCCACACACACACAAACTCATGAAAAGCTAATTTTTGTTATCTTAACTCATATGTTTACTTAATTTTACTTAATAGTCCCAACTAAACTTAGTCCAACTCTCAAACTTTCTCATTTTTATGAATTTAAAAAATCAACTCGGTTCTTAAAATTTAGTGAGAAGTAGTAACAATTTTGGCCTAAGAGGCCTAAAGCTTTATTTGTTTTCTTTTATCTCATCATTCATAAGTATTTCTATAAGACATTATATATGTGATTTATGTAAAATATAAATTTTAAATTTCCGGTAAAAATAATCACAAACAGAAGAAAAATATATCTTGAAGTTTTGAAAAGAAAAAAAAACTTATAAGTATGCATTTGCATATGATAATAAGTCTCTACATTTCAAAGAGGACATATTCGTACACAAAGTCAGTACCACATTATATGACTGAGAGCTAAAATTTGAAAAACATATTGTTTTGCACGTGTGCCTTAGAAGCTGCTTTAGTTTAAAACATTTACCTTAACTTACTCTTCCCCAAACTTAAAATCACATGGAGTTTCAAAATTCTGATTCTTCTATTAAGTTTGTGACAAGCCTGAACAGGAAAAATGAGTATTGCCAAGTATTTACACAATATAACTTAAACCAAAATATGCATGGTAAATTCAAGTTATGTAGTTCTGAATATTCTGGATTATGGAATTCTTTTTTATATCACCTTTAATCAAGACCTTAACTATTCACTTTTGCTATTGAAGTTTTATCACACATATTCTCTTAGCTTGAGTAACATAACTGAGCAATTTATTCTTTTACAATATGTATGCAAGCAATTTACCCTTTTTCTATAAAATGTTTGGATCTCCATGTTCCATGCTATTTGGATATATTGGGGAGAGGAGAGTTGGTATGGAATCAGGGGCTTTTTTGCACCAAGCATCAAATTTCTAACATTTATATAAATTAGTATTAAGGTAGATTGAACTCTGCTCATTTTTCAGAAACACCTACAATGTAATTACAGCTATTTGAGAAAGTCTTTTAACATATGGCCTACACCATATACTTTAGGAAATATTAATTTATTCACATGTTCAATTATTTTCATACCTTATAAATGAAAATAATTTATCTTAAAATATAGTAACAAGGAAAGTTGTGTAAAATTTTGAATGAAAGTTGTTGGTTTTTCTGGGGGGGGGGGGGGTTTGACTTCTTTTATATTCAGATATTTCTATCGCTATAGTAATTTTGTGCATTTTTCCCTCCCCTTTCCTGACTTCTACTTCTTATTCTATTATCTCCCCAGCCCTTCCAAACTACACATGCTTTTCACAACATTACAGGGAAACTCTATGAATTGTCTCATTTTTTAAAACATAAAAAGTAACATAAAAGTTTCAAGATTTCAGAAAGTGCCCCCTCTATGGGACTCTGGACAGATTCATGGGTATTCATCATAGATTCTTATTTTCACTCTAAATGTTTTTTAGACCTGGGGGTCTCTAGATTAATTTTATGAACATTTACAGAGCAAAAATACACAGAAACAGGTTTTAAATATATATACACACACATATGTAGTACATATGTGTGTGTATATAGCCAAAAAATATATATGAAGGACAGTAACAGAAAAGTTTAATAGGTGTGCTAAGTTTTAAAAGCTTGAGTTTGATGTTAAATTGTTATGAAAATCTTTAATGGCCTATTATGAAAGAGTACATGTCTGTATTTGAAACTTCAGGCCTGGAGGGTAAGGATTTAACAATGTGAAACCAATTTAAATATTTTCTTATATTCGCTAGCAGCCACACATTTTTGCTTAACCCTACCATAGAAAGCAACCCTAACATATGCAAATTCCATAGGGAAAAAAATTGGTAACCAGGCAAGATTTGTCTTAGATTTTTAAAAAAGAGAAGAAAGGAAACTTGTATCTAATGAATAATGCCCATGCAAATACTCCGTGATAAATAAATTATATAAGACATGCCGATTTCCTGCCTTCCGCCTCCAACAGGGAACCACCACTGTCCTGATAGTCAAGTCAGGAGGGTGGGAAAATAAGAAATCTGGCTTCTATCAACCTCTGCCATGGAGAAAGAAAGACTTGTCTCACAGAAAGCAAAAGTGATTGTAAGATCACAAATGAAACTAGGAGAGACGCAAAAATCTATAAAGAGAAAAGAATAAGGAGGCAAAGACAAAGAAAAATCAGTTATCAGAGTGGCTACAGAGGTTTTTCTAAACAAAGAATTTTATGAAGTAGCTGAAGTTCAGTACAAAAAAGGCTCCACCCTACTCTGCTTCTGCCGAGACGTTTCCTTGCTCTGAGAACTCTAGCCCACAGCACAGACCTCCCCTAACTAAGAGTGTCTCTAGCCCTCCGTTTTAAGCACTCTCCTTTTCTTTTAAACTTCCCACTCTCCACATTCAGGCAAAAGGACTTATCCTAGACTTTCCCCCAAAGAATTCAGCAGTGTACTCTTCGAACAGCAGATGTAGAGGCTCCGGATTTACAAATGTCCCCGATTGTCTTCTGAGCCGTTTCCCAGGTGCAAATCTGTCAGCCCCCTTCTCAACTTCAACCAGAACCTCCTCTTCGTGCTCCTCCTGAGACTTAATATTCCACCCATTTCCCAACGCGTGCAATAAACACCACAAGGAAAGCAAACGGCAAACTTACCATCCTCGTCTTCCTCCTGGGCATTTATTGAGACGAATTGCCCTAAAAAAACAGTAAGAATGAGCAGAGGTCTTGCTGCCACCCAGTTTGCCATCATGTCTAAATATTAGACATGTGGGTCCTCCTGGGAGTTAAAAGTATATTCTAAGGTTATTGTAGCACCATGAAGTCAGCTGCGGGCTCTTCTTTCAGCACCAGCCCCAGGGCAGCCTCTGCAAACCCCCTTTTTCAGCACCAGCTCCAGCACAGTCTGCGAAAACTTTTTTCAAGCGATGCAGCTTTAAATAGGAAGAATGCTGCCTCCACTTCTTTTCCTGCCCCTTTTCAGCTTGTTCAGGCTCATAACCATCCAGTGTCTGCCAAGCAACGGTCTGATTGATGGTAAACAACCGAATCAGAACACAAGCCCCTGTGCCTTGAACTGTCCCTATTTCATTTATGTTTTAAACATAAATGTGGCTTGCTCACAGAAGCAAACGTTTGTTTCTCTTTCCTTTTCTTTTTCTTTTTTTTTAAAAGAAAGCCTGTTAGAAGGAAAGAGTCTTATTCTTCCCTCCCTAACCCTTCCCCCAGACACACACCCCTTCACTTTTTCCCTATAAGCTGAAAATACATCAGGAAGGAAATACAGCCTTTCAGCCTAGTTTTTGGTATCTAGATAATTAAACCTTAAACTGTCCACCTTAAACTTTCAAAGGGTCAAATTTTAACCCTTTCTTTTTTACTAAGGAAGACTTATTCTTGGCCCCTTGCTACATTCTGTTTCTTTTCCCAGATTCTGGAACAGGACCAGTAAATGTCCAGGTGAGGAAATTAGTTTAGACAAATGCATTATACTTGGGATTAAGATCATCTCCTTATCTCTCCATCTCTCTTATTTAGGAAAATACATCTGCATCTCTTTCTTGTCCCGGAGAGTTTTATTGTGCAGAAAAGCAGTCCACTTTGGCAGTGTAGAGGGATGGGAAGGACACTGTCTTTGGATGCAGAAAGCCTTGCTTCAGACATCAGCTCTGCCACTCACCCATTTTGTAAACACTAAGCCATTTATCTCTGTGCACTCCAGTTTTCTCATTTGAGAACAGAGCTTTGCTCTGATCAGAGGACAGAGTTTAGTGACACTAAAATGAGTAATGCATTATTAACTAAGTTTCCAGCTGCAAAGACGTACCTAAAAGTAGTTACAGTGGTATTATTACCCCTTAACTAGCTTTGCAGGGAATTTGGTAGTTCCAGTTGTACATGCCATTCAAGAGCATGGTTCATGAGTTTTTGTGCCACACTCAATGCTTGCCAAGATCTTAATGACCTCGGAGAGTTCCACATAAGCTAGTAGATTTGCTACCTGGAGTGCACCCAGAATGAGAATGACTGTTCTACATAGCACAGGTGATTCAGTGGTTTAAAATTACTCAGCAATGACCAGGAACCCTGCATTGTGCTCAGCATTGGAGGGAGAGGATGACACAAAGTAAGTGAAAGGCATGCCCACTGTCTCCAAGGAACACATATAGACACTAAGAAAAAAGATTTACATGAAGCAAGAAGCATAAGCCAGAGGATATACATTAGGGATACATTAGACCCAGCAGAAATTCAGAGAAAGGAGAGATTATAGGGTAACAACAGGCAATTAATGCATTATCCTTGCTTTTTTTGGTAAAAGAAATCCAAGAACCTTTGCATTTTCACTTTGGAGCTATAATCTCTGGAGAAGTATTCCAGAGGAATATATGGAATGCAGCTATACCCCACAGTCTTTTTCACTTCAACCTGTCCCATTTCAATCACTTCTGGCACCACCACACTTAACACAGTGCCCTGCTTCCACTGAAATGAATGCATTGAGTAAGGATCAAAAAGTCACCCTTCTGCTAAGTCTAACTAGAATATCTGAGAGAGGCCAGCACTTGAAAAACACCTTGCCAAATATTCAAAAAGAATAAGTGGAAACTGCAGAGGAAAAAAAAATTAACTACTCCACGTGCTTGCCACGTCTATTCTACTTTGAAACCATCTTGAGACACCAATACCACAATACCAAAGGGCTGGCCTAATTTTCAGGCATCTTGTGTGGGATTTTTACTGAGCCACAGAGACTAAGGACATGTACGGAGAATCTGCGGTTCTCATAAAGTATTTTAGGTGCTGAGACACAGAGATGGTAACAGGACTTGTGGCAGAATCACTCTCCATGAAGACTCAATGCTTGTGTCTCGGTATCTGTTAGTAAAACAGATATGATCAGCATAAAATACAGCTATTTTCCATTTAAATGTAAGCACAGTCTTTATAAAAGTGATTAAAAATCCAAAGCTACCTCTCCTAGTTTCCTCCAGCTTGTCACCTCTCCCCATCATACCAAAGGCACATGTTATAATAGGGACCAAGCAAATATTTTCAGGAGAACTGAGATAAATTAACATTCTCTCTTATCTTGGTAAGTTTGTGACCTGGGCTTTTCTTCTATGGTTGGCAAAACAGATATGATCAGCATAAAATACAGCTATTTTCCATTTAAATGTAAGCACAGTCTTTATAAAAGTGATTAAAAATCCAAAGCTACCTCTCCTAGTTTCCTCCAGCTTGTCACCTCTCCCCATCATACCAAAGGCATATGTTATGATAGGGACCAAGCAAATATTTTCAGGAGAACTGAGATAAATTAACATTCTCTCTTACCTTGGTAAGTTTGTGACCTGGGCTTTTCTTCTATGGTTGGCTTTAGGTTCTACATTAAAATTTGGAAAAAAGTGAAACATACAGGTGTTGACCAGGTGTGTCTGTTTAATAGATGTGCCTGAGTTCATGGAGACTTGGCCATTTCTCGGTCCCCAAAGAACTGATTCTAGGCTTCAGTGCTTGAGTGGAGAGCTCAGATATCTGTCACAGTTCCAATGAATTGTGCGTAATATAATAATATGTGCCTAGTGGGTGAATTTTTACTAGTCCAAATTTTCACAGAAACACTGAAAGGTATTTATCATTTTTCTCAAGTCATGTATAAGGGGATTATGCTTCAAAGAAGTTTCAAGTTTGCTAAGCTAATAAGTGGTAGATTCAGGATTCTATGACTCTAAAAACGAGTGTTCTCACCACTGCCTAGATGTTAGATCTGCTGCTGCTATGTGGTCACTATGTCCAAGTCCATCTCTTTTGCAACCCCATGGACTGTAGCCTGCAAGACTCCTCTATCCATGGGATTTCCAAGGCAAGAATACTCAAGTCGGCTGCCATTCCCTTCCCCAGGGGCTCCTCCTGGCTCAGGGGTCAGATCCGCATCACCTGTGCTGTGCTGTGCTTAGCGGCTCAGTCATGGCCGACTCTTCACGGCCCCATGGACTGTAGCCCGCCAAGTTCCTCTGTCCATAGGGATTCTCCAGGCAAGAATACTGACATGGGTTTCCATGCCCTCCTTCAGGGGATCTTCCCAAGCCAGGGATCGAACCCAGGTCTCCCACTTTGCGGGCAGATTCTTTACCATCTAAGCTACCAGGGAAGCCCAAGAATATTGAAGTGGGTAGCCTATCCTTTCTCCAGGGGATCTTCCCAACCCAGGAATCGAACTGGGGTCTCCTGTATTGCAAGTGGATCCTTTACCAGCTGAGCTACCAGGGAAGCCCAGCCACTTGATCTACTTGCCACCAACACTTCCAACCTCAGAAGGTGTCTCAGCACCCTGCAGGCTTAATCCCTCCCTCTGCACTCTTTATCCCTTCTCTTTACATGTCCTTCAAGACATCACTATGTGTGTTCCTCAATTTCTTCAAAAGAGAACCAAAAAACAAAAAGTTTCCTTTAACTCCACATCTTCTACCATCTTTTATTTTCCCTCTCTGTCCTCTCCTGGTTATACTTCACCTGTGCATCAGGATCTCATTACCAGCTCTGCAAAAGACACCAATACCCCTTTGTTGATCAATCCAAAGGATTTTCCTCCTTCCTCATGTAGTGTCTGATATTCAGACTACTCCCTCCTTCTTTCTGGAACTTCCCCCCCATGGCTTCCTGGCCCCAGATACAACTCCTACTCCTCTGCTTTTAGGGTCCAATTTCCTTTGCCAATCCCTCTCAGAAAGTTTCTAGTGCTTTCTAGTGCTGTATTATCAGCTTTTTTCCTGTCCTTGCCCATTGTCTTTATCTGTTAATTATTAGATCCCTTGACTCTATGTCCATTTACATTCTAATAACTTCCAGTCAAGTTACAGACCCTAAGTACTTGCACTGAACATCTCCCTCTGGACAAGTCCATATAGCTCAGTGTCCAGAATGAGACAAATCATAGTTTCCCATTGTTCTTTGTACCGGTTAACACTCCCACAATTATCCTCGTTCCGAGATAAGACACAGAGGACCCTCTTCCTTCTCCCTCAGCCCACACACAATTGTTCACTGAGTCTTGTTAGCTTTGCTATGCATTTGAACTTTTTTTAATGTAGTTTATTGACAACATTATATTAGTTTCAGGTGTACAACAGAGGAATTCAATATTTTATGCATAATACTCCTTTTAAAGTTATTATAAAATATTGGCTGTATTCCCCGTGCTGTACAATATATCCTTGCAGCTTATTTTATACCTAGTTCGTATCTCTTAATCCCCTACTCCTATGTAGCCCCTCCCTCTCTCTCCCCACAGGTAAACACTAGTTCATTCTCTATGAGTCCCTATTTTACACTTGCTAATTCCTAGATAACTGCATGAAGTAGCAACATGCTATTTAAAATAATAACAGAAATAATAATAAAAGAGGAGAAGGGAAATGCCTAGCTCTTGGCCTCCATCTCCCTCTGCTTTCCTCTTTTGGCTTCAGCCATTGGAAACAGATTTTCCCAGGAACATAAGCAGTTTCACACCTCCAAATTTATTCAGGCTCTGACTTTTGCCTGAAATAACCACCTCCCAGTTTTAATTTGTTTTCTCATTCAACAAAGATTGGTTGATTGTATATTATTTGCCAAAGGATACAGTGTGAACAACACAAACAAGGTCTGCAGTAGAGCTATGAACAACACAGACAGGGTCTCTGATGCTACAAAGCTTAAAACAGCAAAAAATAAGTGAGCAAAGAAGGTGATTCCAGACAGTGATACTCC